TTGCTGGATCAGCCTAAAACCACTACACTTGGCTCGGAAATTATTTTCAAACATGTAATTGGCAGCTAGCAACACATCTGCCAGTTGCTCTTCTGATAGGAACGACCAGTAGGTTAGCACCAATATGAGAAAATATTTTGTCAGATCCAACAACAAAAAAAACCTCCACAAAAAAGGAGGAATAGGACAAAGGAACAACAAAAAGGAACAACAACAAGGAACAACAAAAAGGAGAAATAGGACACATTTTTATAGGACGTAGAATTATAAATTATCAGAACTGATGAAACAGAATTTTTTATATGGCATCAATTGCTATTGAGAAATAAAAGGCGATACTACTTGTGAAAGCAGGTAACTTAGGTCTACCTTGTTTGGCAGGTGTTTAATGCCTCCAATTCACGACATTGCCCCTAAGGGCAGAATCAAGCATGACCATCCAAGAGAGAGAGCTGTTCCCTGAAGGATACAAAGGAGACACAGATTGCTTATTCAAGCAGCCTCCTGTCATTTGGAATTTAAAGTACTGCTTTACTTTCTGAGGTCACTCAAAACTCTCTTGTGACTGAAGTCATAACTGGAATTTATTTATTTATTCCATGTCCTGTTTACTAATTCACTGATAAGTCCCTCTCACCATGCTAACCATTCACTACATCACATGGCTGCTTCTCTACACTAGAACAAATCAGCCCTTCCATTGATGCCTTTGTAAGCACATTGTCAAGATTTGTTCCACTTCAACACCGAAGCAAAGCGCTGGCCTTGTGGCCTGGAAGCAAGATATCACTGTAGCAACTCCATGTACTGGTTATACAGCATGGCTTCCCTTCTCTTCCTCCTTACTGTACTGTGCTCCTGCCAGAAGTTAACTTTGCAGGAGAGTGATCCCTTTTGAGAGGGCAGACAGGCCTGCCTCCATTGTCCTGACTCAGCATGCTCAGAACAAAACGAGGACCCACAGTAGAAAGAGACATTTGTAACGCTTTGTCCCGAACACAAAATAAACAGAGCGACCACGCAGCTGGCCTGGTAGCAGCAACAGAGCCTAAGCCTTTGCTCTTCGTTTGGCAGGAAGAGCTGCGGCGCCTGCATAGGAAGGAAATATATTTTCTTTTCACCAGATCTCTTTGCCACATTCAAGAACACCCAATGATAAGACACAGCAGCTGACTCCAGAAGCAGACAGAGCCTGTTAAGATTTTACTTTACTGCCAATCCAATATACATGGATTTTTCTAGGTTCCTATCAACCTTGATTACTACACCTCTGGTAATAAAGAAACCAAGATCTTGAGCTGAACAATTCAAAAGGAAATGTCTTATTCAGGAGTAGGAAACTGCAGAATTAACCAAGATGCGTATCACAAACTGAAGTCAAACATGTGAAATAAAATCACCAAATAAAGGATTTAATGTCGGGTTCCTAAGATTTCTACCAGTCTGACAGTTTCTGTGATTAAAAAAGCCATGAGTCTTGTTTGCAGAAATTCATTATGTAGCATTGTACACTAAAATACAGGATGCTGTTACACAACCAAGCATCTGGGGAGATTAACCCCGATTAGAAAAAAAACTCTGGGAAAAGCAGCTATTTAATGGAATAAGGACGATGGCAGAATAAACTACCGGATTTGTGCAACTGAATCAGGTTGGATGTTAGGAAGTATTATTTTACCAAACAAATCAAACAGAAATATTTACCTTGATCCAAAGATATCCTGAGTACAAAGTGCTCAGTAACTTCCCACCAAGAAACCAGAGCAGTATCTTTACAGAGAGCGAGGACTAAAATGACCTGGAACATTCAGGAATATGTTTCTTCATAGTAGCAACGAAAAGAAATTCAGGGAAGCCTCATAGGAGGGTGTCCTGAGACATGGTGAATATGAACAAAGGGGCAGTCGAACCCACGCTGCAATGGCAGCTGTGGGCAACAACAGAGACATGAGAGGCCAGCAGGAAGATGCTGCCAAGCTAAGGGCAGACTGAAAAAGCCTTTGGCTGAGCTGGAGATAAAAATCCATGTAAGGGTTCTCTTCTTATGTTGTAAAGCTATCCTCCCTCTACCTATGGTCACTTCAAGGCTCCATCTCAACACACGGTTAAATAATTTCTGTACTACAGCTCTACTTCACCACTCTGTAATTCTACATAAAAATGCTACTTAATTAAAACAGCTAAAGCTTTTCCTGACAGTTTTCTTGCATTCAAGTATATGTGCTCATTCTTCCAATTATGAAGCGTCATTAGTACTTGAAAAAAGGCTGTTCCTTGCACTGAATAGAATTGCTTAGCTGATTTTATAAGGCATTTACTGTAACTGCTTTTGGGCACAAACAAAGCCGTCATTTTTTTTCTTTTTTTTTTTTTCAGTAAAGTGTCAGAACTGTCAGAAGTATCCATTAGCACAGAATTTGTCCAAGAAGAATTCTATCATATTGCTGTTATTACAGGAAAGACAGGAAAAGTTATCTCAGACAAGGACATATGACTTGGCAGACATGTGAAGGAGAGATATCAGCCTAATATTCCAAGAACAAATTTAACTACTGCCAGCAAGCTGACAGCTACAGTTCATGTGCATCTGCTGCTTCCCATGAACTACAGTTTGCAGAAGTGTGAAACTAGACACTTAACAATTCTATCAAGTTAAGGCATTAAAGAAAAAACTCAGCACTCTGAACCCATATTACAAAAAGATTTAATATGTTTTTTTCCAAGATCTAATATATAAACGCAATGGTAATAATGTACTCTTCTTATGCAAGCTTGGATGAAATATATTGAAGTCCACTTTTCGCATATTACATAAATAATCATCTAAAGCAACCTAGAAAAGAAGAAAAAAAGCTTAGTCCATACGATACAAATAGTTGGGTATTAAGTTTAAAAAGCAATACATGAAACCAAATGAGGAGCTGCGAAAAGACTTGACGGTTTGCCTGTTTTATTAAGTAGTAGCATAACCATCACATTCAAAGGATAAAAAAACCACAGTTTTTGTGAAGAGAAGCATTATCTTTTACTAGACCAAGGAGCAAATTATAAAAATAGACAAGACTTTGGGCCCTTGCATCAGAATGGTGGTCTATGAATATACAGATCTTGGGCAAAACGATGCAGTTAAAGAAGAAGGATTAGAAGTGTTGATCAAAACAGTGAGGTTCCACAGTCACACACACACTGTGATACTCAGAAGTTTTAGGTATTACATCCTCCCAAAACAGACACATGAAGCATCAGTTAACCATGCTTAATTTGATACTCTTCACAAACGTATTAGCACAGAAATGAGTTCATCAGTTAAAGAGTGCATGATATCACACCCACCGTACAGAAAAAAGCAGGATATGCCTTCACAGGAACTTTCTTACTGAAAGATCTAGCCTGAAAGTAAACAGGGTAAAGTGGGAGAGAAAACAAAACAAAACACAAATGTACTTATCAGGAGAATTTAAAATTTCAGATTAAACATCAAGCAATATACATAATGGTTAGAGCCAACAGACTGTATTAGAAGCTTCATCCCTTTTTATTGTGACATCCTGAAACTGTAATTTTCCATTATGTGCAAGCAGCACCATCCCTCACTGTATGCAAAAGTAATTACGCAGAAAGTATCTAATACTGGGAGAGGCCTGCTAAAATTCTTACATGTTTTGACAACCTTATAGTTTAGATATAACACACCAATGTAAATTAGCATACCTTGTTCCGACAGAGTTCCAAGTTGCATCTGATTTAATAAATACGGTTTAATGCTTTTTTTTTCCCCCACCAAAAAACTGTTTGCGTCCCAAGAGACAGAAATGATAGAAAGCCAGAAATGCATTTGTCTGAGTGCGTCTTTTTGGTCCCATCAGTCCCAGAAGTCCAGTTACGCTCCATTTACATTTATGGTACTTCAAAAGGATCTCAATGCCTCAGGTCCTCAGTATCTATGTATAAACAGAGTCTAAACCATAGCTGAATCCAACCCACAATTTAATCCCATGTACAACTCAGATACATCTAACAGAGCTGAGGCAAATTTTCCTGTAATGCTTATTTATAAAAACAGAATCCCTCCTTGTTTTGCCTTTTCTTACAGGTTAAAACAAACAATCAAACAAACAAACAGTCTATGAATACTGATGAGAATGGATGAGTTTCTGTTAGTTTTCCTTGATTCTTTCCAGACAACAGAGAAAATCAGGCTGAAACTTCAGGAGGGAAAAATACTGAATCTTTTCAGAAGGGCAAATTAGTTTAAAACTTTGAAATGTTATAACATGTGTGTGTATTTATGTATAAAAAAGGAAAATGCTTTTCCCTGATCTAATGGTCTGCCTTACAATTATTCATTGTGAGATTAAAAAAGAAAGGAATTGACCATCTCACTTGACCATCTTAACGGGCTGCAGGTCATTCAGAAAGCACACTATCTTCCTTGGTAAACTGAGTCCATAATGAGCTAGCATAACTGAGATAAACGCAAAAAGCCAAAAGGAGACTTTCTTTTAAAAAGAGGAACGGGGGAGGGGATGCTTAAGAGAAAGAGGGAGGACATGTAAATGTATTCGCAGGCTTTTGAAGAGATTACTGTGGAACTGACAGAGCACTTTTATTCTATGCTTTTATTCTAATAGAACACGCAATGCCTAAAGAAAACTGGAGTCTCTGTTATCTTATTTTGCCCTCTGCTGGTCATCAGCCGCAGTATCAAGAAGAGCTGACCACACTCCAGAAACTTTTTTCCCAAGATTAAGCGCCACATTACTACAATATGCTTCATATAACATTGCTGAGACCTAATTTAGCATTTGAAGATTATGTTTCTTCTGACTGTGAAAGGGGGCTGGTTACTGTTACCCTCATCCTCCAAAATATGTGGTTTGTGTAACAAATGCTGAGATTGTTGAAACTTCTCTGCAGGTTTAAACTTTACCCTACCCTGTAATTCCAACTGAGACCGAGGGTAAGTGGCTGAAAAGACCCTCAGGCAAAACAAGATGGTGATTTTATACAGGAGAACAGATGCCTTTAAAGGCACCAGCCCATTACATTCATCTAAAGTCTTGAAATACTCTGCAAATGTTGACAGCAAAAGCCTATTTCATCCATTAGGAAAGTATCTTTATCCTTGCATTAACAGAGACCATCTGATTATCAAGGAGGGTAATACCCTGTCATTACTGCCAGTTATTGCCAGTTCAAGGGGTTTGAACACTCTAGAGATCCTGCACTGCCAATTATTCTTCACCGACTATGATGGAGGCTGGAAGCAAGTATTCAGAGAGGAATTTTTTAATTTTAATTAAGAGCATATAACCCATTCATTTTTTTTAAAAAAAGGAGGGGAGGGGGAGTGTGCCAAGATCAACATTCAATTGAATAAAATGCTAATGCTGCTCTAATTTGGTTTCCTGTGTTTATACTTTTCTCTATAGTCTCTAATTACATGATCACATTGCATATTTTCCATAGGACTCTCCCAGTGCATAACATGGGCAGGGCTCTAGGAATGGAGTGGGAAGGAAGAGGGGGTAAGGTTCTGCCTGTTCTCTTCATAAGCTGGTTGGCATGTTGGGAGCCAGGAGGCCAACGTGCTAAGAATTATCAAATCATATGAAGGGCTCTGAAGAACTGAATTCTCTCTCTACTTCTGTCCCAAAGTTGCCATGTAATACCAGCAACCAAATTTTAAACAGCTGGACAATAAGTACACATTGCTCGTTTTCCATGCCTCCCATCCCTGGTATGAGAGGCATTTCAGGCCAGGCACATGGCATTTTTGTGAGCCACAATTGCAACCAAAGTAAATGAGTTTTATACACTGTGCATTATGGGTTGAGGGATGAGGAATAATAAAAAAAAAAATCTAAATATTTCAGCTTGAACAAAGATAGCGCAGTTTTGACCTTGCATTTTCTTTGTCTCTGTTCCCTGCTTCTAAAGGGAATGAACAGTTTCCTTGGGCATGTGACAACAAAAACTGAGACATCAGGTGAAACAACATGAAGAAGAATTCATTAAATGCAAATGATAAATAGTCTGTATTATACAGAAAGCCTAAGGCTACACATTATTAACAAAAAAATAAAAACATTAATCAACTAACTAACCACTGAACCACTGATTGAACAAACCAGCGATGCCTCATTTTACCTTCAGAAAAATGAAGAAAGGCTCTCTTACCTCTACTGCATAAAATTGTGTGATCACAGGTAACGCTGCAATTGAGTCTTATATTAATGGTGCAAATGCAGAGATAATCTGGCATTTCTTTACTGTGAAGTAGTATCTTTTCGGACTACCTTGACTGGAAGTATTGGGTGCAATACTCCAAGTATACGCGCACATGTACTTGTAGACACAAGAAACTCTTTACAGTGCTTCTTGCAAGTTTTGTTTTCCAGATAAAGGCAGACACAGCATTGCTGATGAAACATTCTTTTGCTTTTGTATTATGCACCAACAAGCAATTCAGAGTGTAGCTAAAATAAGAGCATAAAAGAAAAAAAAAAAAAGAGTAGGACTCTGCAGTTCCTCAGGGTTCATTATCCACTGTTCCAAGCAAATAAGTCTCTCTTAATTCACTTGGTCCTGAGCCAGAAAAGAAATAAACAGAAAGCACCTTTCTCAAGATAGCTTTGAGCATGGCTGGTCATGTTAGGGAACGAATCCCTCCTCCCACATACACTAACTAGCAGTTAAAGGCAACACACTCTGCCTTCTGGCAGCTGTTCCATGGTGCTGAGAAGAACCACATGCAGAAGTGCTTTCTATGGTGCTGATGCCATGGTGGCCTATAGTTGCATCTATAAAAGTCTACTTGAAGTTTCTCTCCCAGTAATCAGGCTTTTAAGCAGTATTTACATATATGCAGTTGGACCTGGCTGTGAGTAAACGGCCTCCTGTACATACAGAAAAATAAAATATTCATAGAGAAGTAGTTGTAATATTTAAAGGTTTTGTGTGGGTTTGTTGGTTGTTTTGGTTTTTTTTAATTTAAACTTTTAAAGTAACTAAAGGTAATATATTTGAAATTAAGTATGCAACTGTAAGTATTCTAACAACAAATGCACAATGCTTTGTGAAACTTAGCATAAATTATGTTTAAATAAATAAAAGGGAAGGAATCTCACATGTTCTAGATGAATATGGGCCTGGCTGGCAATGTCATAAATTACATCTCTCACATTTTTCTCTTGCTTGCCTCTTATGAAATCCTCTTGTGAAACTCCGTGCTAGGCATAGGAAGGAAAAATCAAAAAGAGAAAAACCATCAATAAATATCAAGTTTCCATTTTAGCTTCTTAAAAACCTGTCCCAGCAAACAAACTAATACTACAGAATATTCAGAATTGCACTAGTTGCCCGTTCTTCTCAACAACACTCAGACATGTGAAAGCTGCATGAAGGTGGGCAGGTAGGCTTCACAGGAGACAGAGACTCCAGTAGAACTCTGTGACACTTGCCAGCAGCTGAAATGCTCACAGAAAGGATGCAAGCTGTTTTTACAGTTTCACTGTAAAACACCTTCCATGGCAAGGAATGACTGAATTTTCAGGCTATGTTTGAAAAGCTAAAAACTTGGAAGGCCTCCCATACCATCCAGTCCCAGAAGGGCTGAAAGCAGGGTGCAGCTCCTTTTTGCAGTCTTATAACTCTGACCTATAATAGTATCTACATGTTTTGCAACTACCTAAATCACTAAACTTCAAATCAAAACTTTCAACTGTATTGAAATGATATTCAGAAAATATTAACACAATTGCCTTAAGCATCACCAGAATTACATACAATTTTGGTTAAGTATAAAAAGAACAGCATTAACATTTAAAAGTAGAGACTGGAGATGAAGGAATAACAGCTGAGATGCCTACAGATCTCTAGCCAGAGAACACTGATGAAAAAATTTGAGTTTTAGTCCCATTTTACCCAAATTGCAAGGTCTGCTAAATTCCAATGTAAATTAGGTTTAAATTGGAGGACTGTATTATCTCCTACAGCAATGTATGGAACATATGCTTATAGCCATCAAATACGTAACAATAAAAAACCCACCAAATTAAAAAAAAAAAAAAAAAAAAAACAAAACATTTACAAAGAGGTAGTAAAGAGAAACCTGAGAAGGTTGTTCAGAAGTAAAATTTCTCACAGTGCTTTCTTTATGAGGGCAGAAAAAACAAAAACCCCACCCAAACCCCAGGCCCCATTCCATATGCGTATTTCTGTATATTAATGCAAAAATTCCTGAAAGCTAAAATACTACTACATTTAATAAAAATTAAAAACAAAAAAAAACCACACACAAAAAAACCCAACACCCTAGAGTTTCATGAAGGTCACTCCTCTCACCTCCCAAAAGATATAAAACCATGACAATGGCATATTACAACACCACAGCAGAAAGAGTTAAAATGAAGAAAAAAGGTGTTCTATTTCTGGCCTAATAAATTATGATTTCATATCTAGCGTTGAGAGACGCAGTTAGAAACACCATACTGTTCCGTTCCAGACAACTTGCTTTTCTTACCAACATACAAATGTCCATGGGAAGAAAGACCTTTTGTCTTGCACTGTGATATGGAGTTGCTCTTAAACAGGTAACTATGCCTTGCGCTTTCCCAATGTGACTGGCTGCATGATCGGCATGGATGTCCCTCACACCTAAAATTGCAGAAATAACTCTGTTAGAAACATACTGTAAGGGCCTTTCCAGGGGCATGGTCTTCTCTGATGTGTGTCACAGTCATATTTCAGGGAAGCTAAGTGCATTGGTCCATGACAGAACCGTCTACGTTCATAAATTGCCTCGAGATCTCATCTCAAGGGTGCAAAGCAGCAGGCAAATCCATTGACTTCTACTTTCAGGAGCAAGATGCCTCTTAGCCTGTTGCAGTTTCTGCAAAGGGTATACTTAGCGGAGCAGCACCTATTCAGATACAATACATCAGTACACAAACTCATTTTCATTGGCATGTCCTCTCCCAAGATAACAGTATTCTAAGAACTGTTTTTCCCTGCCAGAAAAATCATCGAAGTGTGAGATTCCTGACAAGCATTAACGCTTACAGCATGGTTTCCTGATTAGCTGCAGCTGATTCAGCAGGGTACTGAGGCCAAAGAGGCCGGTCCTACACTTCTCCCCTGAACCCGTATTTCTGCCACCTCCCTTATGCTGTCACGGGCAACGAGGCAGCAGCACAGCAAACGAAATCAGATCACCAAAGCAATGGAACTAACTAACTTTAGCTAATGGAAGTAACTAACTTTAGTTACTGCACAGTCACATGGCTGCGAGGTCTGACAGAAGAGGGAGAGGAGTGGGGCAGAGCAGCACCATTGCTCTTCATGGCAAGACCATACAAGGTGGGCTTAGTCTGATCACAAAGCCATGATGTTTTCACAGGACTGACCCGGGACAAATGAAAATTTAAAAGAAAATTGAAATTAAAATTCACAAAAGCTCTAACAGATGCACATTCTACAAAGAAAGAAACGAGGATGCAGGAATTACAGACCAATGAACCTAACTGACACCTGAAAACAATCCTGGGCGTACCAGATCAGGGCTGTACATCAAGGGCTGTACCCTTGCATGAGTCCCAGAAGCCTTTGCAAAACAGTGGCTAGAAGGAGACTGCATGACCTTATTATGGCAATGGCAGCAGAAAACAGAGTGTCGCTTGGAGGAATCAATGGGTATAACTACTGATATTGATTGGGCAGCTCAGGCCTTAACATATAACTAGGAGTTTAAAAAAAAAAAAAAAAGGCTCAAAGATTAAGAGTTAGCAATGACTCATGCTTAACCCGAGAATATATCCCAAAAGTGAGGTTCTGAAAAGGTTTAACAAAATTATTGAGTAGTACCAGACTCCTAACCACTTAGGCAATGAATCAGAGTCTAAATTAAATTTAAATAATTTAAATTAATGTAAAATATTAATATTTTCAAATTCTAGGAGATAGGAGGAAGTATCAGGACTTTGGACGACAACATTATCAGTCAAAATGAGCTTGACAAAAGTAGTAACCCAAAATCAGTAAGAATAAAGCAGCACTACTACTAGGAGAGAGACACACAAACTGGAATAAAGCAGCTAAAAAGCACAAGAAATTTAGCAAACATGACCTGTAATGAAATCAGGTCCACCTAGTCTAGAAAAGACTGCTGATGGGAAACACCAAGAAAAGGGCTGCGTTCAATTAATTTCTCCATTTGTGGAAAAAACAAAGAAGTTCACTGTTTAATATGCAGTGAAGGAGATTTTTGCTTAGATATTTTGTTACACTGATATATTTAAGAGAAGTTAAACATGACAATAGGGCACCTAGAAAATCCAGAGCCCCCATAACACATTTTCAAGAACAGGATCATCTGACTTGTATCAGGAGTGACCCAAGCATTACTGAACTCCTTCAGAATAGAAGACATTTCTCAGAATGGAAGATGTTGATATTTCTCATACTCCTACAATTCTTCAGTTAGAAGTTCAGAAAGACACTTGCAACATTTCACTGATTTCCTACTGAGGAAGCGAACATCACATGTTAAGAAATAGGTTCCTCATTTCTTCCAAAGAAGAACATGCTCACCATATCTCTCATTTTTCTTTTTAAACTCTCTTAACTACAGCATTGGCCTTCCATCAGACTACTCTGATGAGCAAGAGGAAAATATTGCTACTACAATACTAAATACTACTAAACAGTAATAATTCTCATCCTTCTTTTACATCTGAGCTCATACAAGGAATACTTTTGTAATGCAAGAGACATCTAAAAATAAAGTTACCCTTTTCTTCACTGCAAGTGATAGTTCTTTCCCAACCTGTGAATCCTACATTAGACATGACATAGATTCCATCTTTTAACCACACGGATCATATAATCTTTGTTGCATTTTTTCTAGCTGTTCAATTATTGATAGTTAACCTACTTTTAGGAAGAGGAGAGGATTCATACCCGAATTTACAACATCACCAAGGGAAGTTTATAGGTTGGGAAGTCAGATGTTTCCAGATAACCAGTGTACAATCACTGCAATACAGAACAACGGCTGCAGAGTAACTACAGCACTTTGTGTCTTGACAAAGGGGACAACCAGAAAATACAATGAAGAGCTGAATTTACCACACTCTAATAGGAGCAAGAAAAGAGAAAACAAAGCAACAAAGAACAGAGCAGTAGGAAACGGCACTTCAGTGAGCCTTCCACTGAGCAGCTTCTAAGGGAAGTACGTAGTCATAGCACAGATGCAGTAAGATTCCAGACTTATGGTTGAGCGTTCAAAAGATATCTGAAGTATTACCTAAGACAACTTCTACTGAAATTAAAACTCCAGTGGAAAGAGTAGGCTTTTTGAAACATCAATAAATATTGTACCTGCACTAATGAGTCACCAACAAAAGCTAAAAAGGGGAAAATGCCTACCCAGCATTTCCAAGGTGAGGTACAAGAGAGCACTCTGAGTGTTCTCAGCATACGTTTCAAGCTCCTGGATGTTACGGTACGCTCTATCATCCAAATTCTTCTCCTGTAACATGAACACAGAACGTCAGTAAAATGGAAATATAACTGGTCTTTGTGCAAGTTTATTACTACAGTCAGGTCAGCCTAGTCCACCACGAGAAAAAACAGACAATATTGTAGAAGGAGAGCATAAACTCAGATGGAAGTAGTCATTAAACCTTATAGCAAGTCTAACATAACCAAATAACCCCACGCAACTGCAGCCAAGTCTGTTTACTGGAGCAAATATAAACTTTTGCAATAATAAGAAATCAGAGTTCTCCATAAAAAAAAAATACAGAAAAGACAAAACATCTCATGGTACTGATGATGTGATGGTACTATTGCACTTCGAGGTTGGCAATTTTAATACATAATTTGCATCTGAAGCACTGAGAAATTTAGATAAAGAGTAATGTATTTTTTAAAACATACACAAAAATCAATGCACCAAATACACAAGAGTTTCAAAGTCATATGCAAACACTTCCAAAAATATAATATCTTCCAGCATTCTTCCTCTCCTAGTGGCTTTTGTGGTTAAAACATATCAGTCTAAAGATTAGAAACCAGTTTTAAGATTAAAAAACTCCGAAGTCTTTCATAGCAACAACACTCCAGAAGTAAATGACCATCAATTTTCTTAAGGTATAACTTCACGAGATGCTAACTTTAGCAGCAAAGCTAGCTTAAAAAATTCCTACCCTCAGTTATTCAACAACTTTTGCCTTTGTGCCAGAGTTGGTAGCAGCATCACTGTACCAGTGAAATTCTTCCTCTTGTTTTTCCCAGGAAAAGGGCCGTTATTTTAGAATTCAAGTGATTTTAATGCTTTAATTTACAACACTCCTTAGAACAAACACCACAGCCACGATAAGCAGAAGCAGCGAACTGTGGCAGAAAGGTTCAGAGTGGTCATTTAATTTTTGAGATTTTATAGCCATGACTCGTGACAAGAGAAGGCTATGTAGGGGCAAAATTGACATGGTTAAGAAAAGAGGCAAGGAAGAATACGATGATGCCAATGATGTAGATTTATGCAACTTCGTGCAATATGCAAGATGTCCTTTCTCTTGGGCAAGATTGGAATGGCACATGGTACGAGTTTCCCTTCTTGCACATCTACATTTCCAATTCTATTAAAATGTAGTTTTCCAAAATTCTTGACAGTTGCATATGGAGACCTTACTACTTAATCCCATAGGATGGAACTTCGCTCACTTGCATACAGAAAGGTATCTAACTGTAACTACCAATGGATTACCTCCCTCTAGGGGCAACCACCTCAAATTAGGAATAGACACCAGCAACAGAAAACATAAGCACAGATACACTGGTTACCAGAGCAGGGAACAAAAAAGATGCCGACTCCCAAACTGCATCTATTTTAAAGCAAAACTAAACAAAGGATTCCATTAGCCATTTCAGCCAGAAAGAGCAGAAATTATGAGTAGGGGCATCAAAGCAGAATTAGAAGGAAATACAGCAGTACCGTTCTTAAAGAGAAATACTATTGTCTGGAAAAGAGGAATTACTTAAGCTTTTGTTTTACACACAAACATAAAATTAAAGGGAAAAAAACCACATGCAACTAAAACCAGAATCAGACCTTGAATGGTAACACTTACTCTTTCATCAATGATCTTCATGAACCACATTTTAGTCAAGTTATGCCTCTTGACAGCCTGAAAATCATCAAATAAAACATCCAAGTTAATGCATACAAAGCGATGGTAGTACTGCATTCTGAAGGCTGAAATATATTATAGATAATCCTTTTCTCACAGGGATTGTATTCACTGGGTTAAATGAAAGTGGCACAACAGTGGAAAATTAATAGATTCGTATGATTGACTTCTTCAAATACAAAAATTTTCAACTGGCATTTGTTACGAGTTCTTGCACACAAAAAGCAAAATCCTGGACATCAAGCCACTTAACAAAAAGCATTTCTTTAAAAATATTTTTCAAAGTAATTTATTCTTTCATGGAGTCATGCGTTACCACAAGATATTTGCAGATAACTTCGTTCACTGTCCAAAGAGAAAAGTTTCCTCCAGAGTCAAGGAATAAAAAGATTTCCCCTGTAAATTTTCATGAAAACATCCGTACAACATACCAACACATACTGTAAAGACAGCATCCTAACAAAGTAATATAATTAACAGTACGGTTTTGTTTAAAAGAAGTGTCTCACAGCGTCTTATATTCACACATTCTTCTTTTGGCTCCTATCTTGTATTTGACTTCCTTCCTGTACCACTTCATTCTATCAACTTATCCTCAGTCCTCTTACACACACCGAATTCCGCAGACTGCACCGTCAGAAAGGCCACAATCTCACATATAAATATTTATAAACAAAACTTACAGAGCACATTTCTCACAATCTTAGGCTTCATAGCTCACTTTCAACTTCTTTTCATCCATTATATTTGTAAATGTTTGTTCAAGGTTTGACAAGACTTGAGCTTCTTGTTGATTCAACAAAATCTGCTTGAGGAAGTACTCGGTATGTGAAAAGGCAAATTTTAAGCTATAAATTCAAATGGCAGTTTTGCCTCTCACTTGTTCGTCTTGAGTATCGTTTTGTAAATGAAATCCTTGAAACAGTCACAGGTCAAGACTTAAAACACTGAGTTCTGCTAAATTACCCAATTTGCACATTACATCCATTTTGAGCTACCCTCATTCAAACACGCAGGTCCTCAATTTTCCTAAGTTTTGAAAATCAGCCTCTTCCACAGAAATGAATGGAGAATTAGGCCTCACTTTCTGCACGTTCAAAATGGACAGATAAATAAGAACAAACATCATATGGTTACTGTATAAGTTTATATTAAAGTCACTAAGTGCTGAGCTACTAATAATTCTAGAAATCTTATTAAAGGCTATTTATATACTTTAGTACTGCATAAAACTCTTGGAATCCAAATGTGAGTATTCTGGGATATACAAAACTTCAGGAATACATTCAACATCATAAATTAGTATTTCTTCTGGAAAATCAAAATTGTTCTCATACAAACTCAACGGCAAGAAAGGGGCACACATAGAATATGCTGTGCAAAAGGAAAGCTAATTCTTTTAACAGCTCTGCAACACTTGTGAGTTCAGGTGCCTTTTCAAATCCTTCTTTCTAAGAATTACAATGATATTCTTGCACTTTGTGAACCTGTGCTCTTCAGACAGGTCGTTCTTGGGGTTTTTGCTGAAATGTAGACATAAAATCGTATCTTGAGTGCAAAGGTCACATTGGACTGTTAGGTCACTCCAGCACTCTGCAGTGTTCCAAGCTATCAGAGCTCCTAGAAATACTTTTCAAATTATTTTTCAACATCTTATTTCCCAGTTAGTCCTGTTTGGATTGTCTTATATTTGTCTTCCTTCACAGAAATCGTAAGGTGAAATATTACCACAGAGATAGGTCAGTTATTTCTTCCACTTCAAAATCAATTTTCTGTTTTGTGAGAAAGGAGTACCACAGGCAGTCTTAGCTGTTGGAAAGGGTTGCAATTGATATCTCAATATCTGAACAATTTACATCTGAATGTTGTGCTGGCTTTGGCTGAGATACAGTTAAAACTTCTTCGTAGCAGCTTGTATGGGCCTATGTTTTGGATTTGTGCTAAAAACAGTGTTGATAACACAGGGATGTTTTTGTTATTGCTGAGCAGTGCTTACTCAGTGTCAAGGCCCTTTCTGCTCTTCATACCACTCCACTAGCGAGCAGGCTGGGGATGCACAAGAAGTTTGGAGGGGACACAGTTGGGACAGTTGACCCCAACTGACCAAAGGGATATTCCAGACCATATGATGTCATGCTCAGCAATAAAACTAGGGAGGAGGTTAGAGGCAGGGGAGCACTGCTCAGGGACTGGTTGGGCATCGGTCAGTTGATGGTGAGCAATTGTTTTCATTTGCATCACAGGTCTTTCTTGGGTTTTATTTTTCTCTTCTTTCCATAAAAATAATAATAATAATTATTATTATTCTTTTTAATTCTTAAACTGTTTTTATCTCAGCCCACCAGTTTTCTACCCTTCTGACTCTCACCCCATCCCACCAGGGAGGAAGGGAGCAGCTGTGCAGTGCTCAGTTGCCAGCTGGGGTTAAACCACAAAAATGTTTTGGGTTTTTCCTAAATTACTCTTCTGCTAATAAACATTTCCACCCCACATTGATACACACAAGCAGCCTGAAATTAAACCTGGTCAAAGGAATATATACAATCATACCCAAAACTAGCTTGTACCTAATCCACTCAATCAGACAACTGAGAGGCTATCTTCAGAAACAAAAATAAGTTAATATCCACTAAAGCAAGTTCCTTCTTGGAAAGGAGACAAAAGCATTTTGGGAGAAAATGGTCCTATTCCTGGGAAGCTTGCCATATGCTGGAAGAGAGACAGAAAGAAGGAAATAAAAAGCCAAGGCACAGACAGATTGACATGCAAAACGACCAATTCTGAATTTTAATGTCTGCATTAAAATATCACCCTAGGTGCATCTTCAACTCCCATAATCCCATAAAAGGCTCACAACATTTGCCAGTCTCCGTTCTAACTGTACAAACGCTTTGTTGTGGCTAAAGCACACACTTTATCTGAGCTGGAGAGACCTATGAATAGCTCTGATCCTCCTAAAAGTGACTGTAACAGGTGTTTTTCTTTTATTTTACTTCTTGGCTTTACCTATGTTTTCTCTTAGTTAAACAAACTGTGTCTTGTTTAAATCCTAATTTTAATCTAAACATGAGGGTTGATAGGCAGGAACAAATGCTCACTTATGCTTTATTTCACATTTGAAGGAGGAAAAGTCAGGGAGAGGCCACAGTTCCAGCACTGCCAAAAAAATCACTGAAAGAGGATTTGGAAAGGACTCATTTTTGTGGTCTCGGAGATGCTGCAAAGATAGATACGAAGCCAAGATGGCAACAAGTGAAACGCTCTAATCCCACAGGAACTGAATTGGTCTAACCCAGCATTACAGTGTGTCCTGCTTTTCTCAGGATTTGAACAGGAGCAATGCAGATGTATACTTGGATGAAGACTCCACATTTCACTGCTTGTTTTCCAGCAGGTCCATAAACCTAACTACCTACGGAACCTACGTTAACTGTATTCAGCTATTGAGATCTGGACAAACTGCAGCTTTTCCTGTCCAGGAGCTCAGAGATCTTTAGTTTAAATGCAAGTTCTGGTCTCAGAGTACAGGCCTTATGGTAGCTGCTCTTTTGGAAGTTCTAAGACTTGCTATGACCCATGGCTCTAAGATGAGAAGTTAGCAATGTATGGAATTTCCATCCCCAAAGAAAATCAAAATTCAACTCAATGTGACCCTGACAATCTAATCTAACTTTGATGTTAGGCCTTCTTTAAGTGGTAAGTTGGACTAGATGACAACCAGAGATCCCTACCAACTAAATTATTCTGTGGTTATGTATCAGCATCAAGGGGAAATCTATTTACACCGCCTTCAGACCTTCAATCATCTACTGAACATATCAATGACAGTCCTAACTAGAAACAAAACATTTTGCAAGAAAGCCTCTGTTTCTTTGGCCATGACCGGCAAAGGAATAGATCTGTAGGAGTACTTTATGTCGGATATTCTAGTGCCTGCAGAACTGAGGCATCTTGGTAAAAATAAACTGTTAAGCTCACAGGTATATTCCCTGTTACACAAAAGGATGTGTGCAAAACATAATACATAAAGTCATCAAGCAACTCTTGACGCAAGGAGAAGGCTGTACTAAGATTCCTCCTATTATGCAGTAACTAGGTATGAAGGTCTGGGGCTTTTCTCCATATCCTTTTTGCTAGTTCATCCCCTGTGCTTAGTCTCCTGTCTTTTTGTACAGCTTATTCTCTTCAGGCAGTACTAGTATTGGCTCAGGAAAGTACACTTAAGCACTTCGCTTGCTATCAACTTATGGTTTACCACAGTTTACTCTGTCCTTCGCCTAAACAGAAGAGAAAAAGCAGATGCATCACAGAATTCTGACCTTCCAAGTAGGTCCTACCTAAATATTTTCCTTCTCCAACTCTGCATTTTGGTTGCAGGACACTTAAAGCATCACACAGACACAAACACAATTTACATTATCTGTTTTATATAAAATAATGCTGTTAACTATGCAACACAGCACGCACTAAACAGTGACGTCATTTCCCACAGTAGTATTTTAGTCAAGTGAATTTTTGGAAAACTAAGGTGTATTTTACCCTCCACAGTTCTGTAGCAACTGGTTGATGTGGTGGGTTATCGCCATATATATTTTCCACAGCCTCCCTCCAGAACTGCATCCGCATCAAACCCGTAGTCTTCTGAGTTATGGAGTCTTTAATCTGGAAAGGATACATCTGGAGTGAAATTCACAGTGTCTTTAAGGCACTTGGTCTATCTACACTGAAAAGACAGACACAGGACACAACCAAACTCAGTAGGGAAAACACTCAGTTCCGAATTTAAGTTTATTCTTCATAAAGTATATGAATGCTACAGAGAGTAGAAAAAAAAATCTTCACCACAACCTGACTTTGAAACCCATGGAGACTGAGTCCTGCACAACCCTCACCTCAGCTTTCTTCCCAGCAGGAAAAGAAGCAGTGGTAAGAGCAGCAAGGGAGGGTGGTGCCACAGGTTGCCAGAAGCATACAGAAGCGGATCTGGGATTTTGCTTGGTCAGCATATTTCCTGGATCACTGCTTTCTGGCAAGGTTTACCAACTTCCCTGGTTGAACTGGCAGTTTCTGGCCACCCAGCAAAGGGGACAGACTGCAGCCACTCCCCTCCCACAACTCTCTAATTACAAACTTCCCTCCTAGCAGCCTTTCCATCACCTAGCTTCCCCCAACAAAGACCTGGGACTGATTATATCATCCAAGTTTTTAACAGATGTTCTACAGATAGGATTTAGGTGACATTTACCAATGCAATTGCTGCATTTGAAGCCAGGACATAGATGCAATCACATGACAGCATCAAAGACCACAGCTTGATACTATTATAACTTAATTTATCAGCTTGTTTGTTATAACTTAATTTTAAAATGTACAACAAAGAGGAAAGAGAAAAATTATATACATAAACAAAATAAACTGGGGGAGGCTGGCTACTTTCCAAGGGCCATTCAAAACTAGAGGTTTGTATTGCCCTACTTATTCATTGCTCCTTATACAAAAAGTTAATCTCAGCAAAACACCACCTACTAGTGTAATTTAGAATATTAAAACTGTTATTTTACATTTCCAGAGTTCACAAATATATTTTAATACCTGCCTGAGCCAGTTCCACATTGAAAGCTCTCAAGGCAAAAGCAGAGGTTCGAGATTCCGCAGGCAACAGCAGAGAACACAGAAAGCCTTCATAGTCACGCTTTCTATAAAAGATGAAAAAAAACTTTATTATTTATAGCTCTACATAAATTGAGGGTGCTATTGCTTAGCACTGAACTCCTAAAATAGTAGCGATAAGTTAGAGTTCAAAACTCTGACTTGGCAAAAGTAGCAGCTTTTAAGCTTATTTTAAAATAAGACAAACTCCCAGAGATGGGGGACGCTGTCTGAATCTCTCAGTGCACCTCTCAATCTCAGATCTCAAGATATTTGGCTAAAGGCATGGAACAAGGCTGTGGCAGAATTGCAAACAGAATCCAGATTGTCTGACTTCCAGACTTCTGTTCCAAACATGAAGCCACATTTCTTTAAAAGATTGTGCTTCGGAGCTTGGCAGAAGAGCACTTGCTTAACCAGTAAGTTTTTGTTTATTGGCAACTATACTGAAAGCGTAACAATTCTGGGTCTTGGCAGTTTCGCTGCAGGTAACCTGTTGCCAATCTAGAGTGATATGCCTCTGTTTGGCCACTTGGGTGTGCCATTACATTAAAAACAATCAGTGCACAGAATTACAAAGTGCAAAATCATACATGACTGTAGCTAACACAAAAAAACACTTGGCCACCTTTGAAAAGCTAAATTCCTTGTTTTGAGCAATATTTTTGTGTGCTTTCTGATAAGCCTGTAACCTGATTCTTCATTAGAAGACGACCAGCAACTCCAGCCTTCTCCTGGAGAGTGGAGAAGCAGGTGTGAAAGAAAACACATTTACTCATTTTCATGAAGTCTGCTGTTCTTACATGTACTTATATTTCTTTTGAATCTGAGCGTAAAATAGCAAAGCCAAACTAAAACCAAGGGTTATTAGGGTTGCTACTTTTAGCATCAAACAAAAAGGAAGTGAGATTTAACAGAGATTCTTATCCCTACAACACACACCAGCTGCTAACTAGCAAATGCTTAGTTTTCACAACAGTTGTGAAACTTGTTTTAGAGCTTGATGCAAATCCAGAAGCATCAACACAACAACAAAAAAAAAGACATTTGTAAATTTTAGCAGGCTTTAATGGTCACCTTCATATTAAAGAACAGATGCATCAAACCTCACCCAATTAATACACTTTCTGAAAAGCATTATCAGCTCAAAACCAAGTGTTTGTTTTTTTTTTTCAAGACTGATTATAGTAATACCCAGTATTGTCCACCTTGGGCAGAGCTGAAAGGTTTACAGCCACATTTTCCCAGTTCCAGTTATGCAGTTTGCCTGGGTCATTCACGCAACACAGAACCACCTCTACTTCCAGAAAGGAAACAAAGAAACACATTACACAAAGTAAATGGCAGCACAATAGAGAAATTTGTCTTCCCTCTAGTAAAGATGTTGGCATGTTGGGTTTGTTTTGGGTTTTTTTTCAATTATTCTAAGCTTAAAAATTAAACGTATCAAAAACCAGCTAAGAACGAAATCAGAAAGTTTATGCTGACATAACAGTAAAAAAGCAAATACCTTAAGCTTCAGCATGTAAAATAAAATTGATATTGCTACAGATCATGTTCCAGCCCAGCCCTCTTTGTGTATTAAGATACAGAATGAAGAATGGAGGGAACAACCTTAAGTCTGGTATTAAGTGTTTTTCATAGTTTCCCTCTCAAATAAGTACAAGGTTACACATGAACCCAGAGATGGGAAGAAAAGTTGGTTATGACCATTACTGGGCTTTCAGTATAATGAAGAATGTTAAGTCTTAAAAAGACTTTCTTCCACGTTATAGAACTCCATAATACCATCAAATCACAAGCTTGTCTTCCAGAGCTGACATCATAAACAGCAAGAGACAGAAAACACACAGACTAGGGAAACATATTTTTAATCAAACAGCTTAAAGCTACTTCTAAGAGCGTTGTTTAACATAAAAAGGAAAATCCAAGAAAAAGGACGTCTTGCATATGGCAAAAAGTTGCAGAAAACTGTACCATTAAAGCATAACTTGGCTGTTGTTCTTCCTAATGTGTGGGAGACTCAGATTCAGGACTGAGGAGTTGCTAATGCTTGCATAGCCTCAAGTGTTTTATTTCTGCTTGCATAGTAACTCTTCCTCTTATTTTTAATAACTTATGATATCCATTCAATATATGAGTTACTGTGAACAGCAGCTTCAATTAAACGATGCCAAAAGCATAACCACCTTTCATTTTACTATTTGAATGCTTGTAGTCCTTTCTATCGTTTCACAAAAATAACAAAAAAAAGTTTAAATTCAACCATCTCAGCTTCTGTGCCTTGGAATCTAACTATTCTGTTCACAGTTGTTTGTTATGGAAAACATTTTACCTGTATATTAACTGTACATGCACCCTCTGATCTCCTGAGTAACAGGTAAACAAATCCCGGGTAGAGTAACTGGGAAAATGAAGCTGTAACTTGGAAGTTTTATCAAGGAAAATGCAACTTGGCTATGCATTCTGGTGTATCTGTAAAGGTCTGCTGCTTGGTGCTGCACAGAAAATTTAAGACTGTCACTTTTCTTTCCATTAGTTTTCCTACTTCAAACATTACTGCTGACCACACACACCATTATACCTTTTACAAGCATCAGTTTGGAGAGGACGCTGTTCCACTCTCTCTATACACTCTTGGAAGCCTTCTCCCTGCTTTTGTCAAGCATCTAAGACAACTGTATCGCAAGAGAAATTATTTAAGTATTTACAAAGAGACTTGTTTAATTTCTTACTTTATACCTCTCAACTCTTGCAGACTAGAAAGCAGCTAAGGGGCCTTGCACGTTGTTTATGGCCCAGAAGCCAAGCAGAAAACATTGTCTGGCCGGGAAGTGTTTGAGCTGGACACTTGGTGCATTTCGGATTTGACCAAAAATGAATACTTTGGAAAACTAGACTTTCTCCCCTTCCTGCATTCAAGTCAGAGAAGCTGCTTGCACTGTCTGTCCAGCTGTCGGATTTCCTCTACTTTTGCTTATTTTCCAAGGAGTACTTGGGAAGGCTGGCTATTTCTCAGAAGCCAAGATGATCTGAAAACACCTATTATGTTTTAACATCCACTTCGGTCGTCTAGCTCTCCAAAAAGTGGAGACAATGATATGAAGACATTCAGTATTTCAGAATAAAAGCAGCTGTGAAAGAAGCGGAGGAGGGAAATTGCCGCTTACAGGTTAAACCATCCACGCAGCTGAAATATTTATCCAGTTTCCATCGCTCCCCGCCCCGAAGAG